TGCTTTTTTTTTTGGGGGGGGGGGGGGGGGTGCTCATGGTTACCTAGTTAAACACGACCCGAGGTTGTTTTTGGCTAGTCCTGTGTGGTGGTTTGATTTTAACACATGGCAGGATTGACATTACTTGATTTATAGTCCCCACAAATGTGTCCTTTTGTGTACACTTCGTCACACGGAGGGGGGCTCTTCACCCACACAAGACACGCTGCCGCAGGAAGTGGATGATGTATGCTACTGCCCGATGTTAAATGGTTGACAAGTGGTCAGAAATAGAGCAGGGAGCGATAGAGTTTACAAGGAACAGGAGAACCGCAAAAAAAAAAAACTTCAAAGATCAGAAAATAAAGCATGAGAGCAAAGACCGTTTCACTTCAACTCTTTGTATGCAAGAACTTTGCTCTCCTCTGCAGCTGGCTCACACAAACAGATTTTATACACTGCCTCCATCTGACAACAGAGCTCACCGCAGGCAGACTGGCAGGCCCTGAACATGCTAGCTCTGCCCATCATAAAACCAGCTTCACTCTTTCAATTCAATTTTATTTATACAGCGCCCACAGAAAAACCCAACAATCAACAAAACCCTATGACCCCCTATGAGCAGCACTTTGGCGACAGTGGGAAGGAAAAACTCCCTTTGAACAGGAAGAAACCTCCGGCAGAACCAGGCTCAGGGAGGGGCGGGGCCATCTGGGGTGAGAGAAGGAAGATGGGATCAAGGACATGCTGTGGAAGAGAGCCAGAGCTTAATAACAAGTATGATTCAGTGCAGAGAGGTCTGTTAACACATAGTGAGTGAAGAAGAAACACCCAGAGCATCATGGGAATCCCCGGCAGCCTACTGCAGCATAACTAAGGGAGGATTCAGGGTCACCTGGTCCAGCCCTAACTATATGCTTTAGCAAAAAGGAAAGTTTGAAGCCTAACTGTTATGGATAGGCGTAGCTTTGGGTCACGTGGTGTCAGTAATAGTGATTGCTATATCACCTGTTCACGGCCCGAGGGAAATTTTGTGAATGAGTGGGTGATGGGGGAAGTCGACTTTTGCTGACCGCTCAAGCTTGGAATGTTTTGATCACTGTTTTTCTACGGATTTTAAGGATTTGATAACAAATAAAGGAGTTTTAACTTGGAACTTTGACTAACGTTTTAAACAGCGGGCGCGTCAACATTATTCCCCCATTCAGCTGCTCGGCGACTCAAAGGCTTGAAAGTCGCCAACACTAACCTTGAAAGTAGAGATAGTGTCTGTCTCCTGAATCCAAACTGGAAGCTGGTTCCACAGAAGAGGGGCCTGAAAACTGAAGGCTCTGCCTCCCATTCTACTTTTAAATACTCTAGGAACTACATACCTACAGCATGCTTTATTCGCTCTAATAGAATATTATGGTCACCAGTAAAGAACGCTGCACGGAGGTCTAGCAGGAAAAGCTAGACCTCAGTGCCAAGTGTGAGACAGTGCTTGGAAGCATTCATCTAACTCGGTTGTACTCTAAAAAGCACTGAGTTCATTAGCCAACCCTGCTGATCATCACACTTCATAATCAGTTCACCCCTTGATTACCAAATTAGCAAGTTTGTCACTATATTTAGTGGCTCATCATAACCTATTTGGTAACACTTTCTCTGAAAAGTAGCTGACAAAAAGTTAAAATGTAGCAGTCTTGCTCTCTCCGTCTGTTCTGTTCAATGACGGGAAGAACGAATCAGCAGCAACTGTAAATGAGGCATTTTCACATTTGCTTTGATTTCTTTCACTGACATGATTTTCTGCACCGTGATCATTACTCACTGGACAGACAGCATTGTAACTGAAATCTCGTGTTTGGATGATAGATAAAAACAAATTTAGCAGGTAACAGACACCAACAGAAACAGTATAATTTGATTAAATCTATCATCTTGTAAAGTGATGTAAACTCTGTAGATTCCCGCTACGTCTTGGACTTTGTCCCTGATTCTGTTTGTTCCAAAGAAAAGGACAAAGCAGTGTCTCCACATTATCACCAGGGTTCTGATTCCTGTCCCCATTCATTAATGTTTGATGCTGAATCAATTTGTGAGGGGCTGATGTGCGCTCTAAATGGCTGCAGATCAGCAAACCCCAAAGAGGTCTTACCACACCCTTACCTGGTGCAGACATTTGATCTGTTCTGGCCTCTTTTTTCTTTCTATTCAGGTTTTGTAGCTTCCTGTACCTGTATAATAAACAGGCTTAAGCACTCGGTGCTTGTTTAACTCAGATGTAACCACTGAGGAGAATTTTTCCACCGTCTGGACACAACTGAAAGTCGTTGAGAGACACAGGTACTTTGGCCTTTCTGAGGACCTCTGCCTTTGTCATTTAGTCATCAGAGTTGTACCAGTAGGGCTGAAGGACACTCGGGAGTCTCTGTTGTATCCAAGCCTGCGTCACAGCACGCATGAAAGCACCTGACATTAGTTTCACTGCTTGGTTTAAAGCACGAAGCCATCATGGTTTATTCTGTTTATAATGTAAGATGAAACCTAAATCCAGACGTTTAACTGTATCAATCTTTTTAAAAAGTTACAAATTAGTCTTCAGGGCTTTAATACATCTATTAGTGTCTTTTCAATTTGAGATAGACGGGATAACTTTAACAAGACACTTGCACGTTTTTGCAAAAATAGAGCAGCTGCAGGAGAAATGTGGATATATTTAAACACCACATTAATATAATGGAACATAAACCTAGTTACGTGGATCTCCCTTCATCTTAATGACAGGGCAGTGACACTGACAAAAAAAATTATAGTAGGCATTTTTGTTCTTCCAGCTTTGCTTCCTGGCTTCATTTGAACTTTACTAACACAGCATTTTTACAGCCTTACTGACCAAAGCACTTAAAAGCACACAGAGCTTCACACCCACTCACTGGCCCCAGGTCAGTCTCCTGCTTATGTAGTGTGGACTCCTTGGTAAAGTAAATGGTGAAGGTGTTTATATAGAGCTCTAACCTCATTGAGTAATAATCAATTTATCCATTCAGATGCACATACATACAACGCTTTATTTTATGACACACACACACACACACACACACACACACACACACACCTACCTCCCAATCAGTGGGTGACCTGATCAGCCCACTGTGCCACAGCAGCCCTTCAGACAAAGACTTGGTTTAAACACGTGTGTCAGTACATCTCAGATCTGGATAAAGAATCTCAGTGCTCTAAAAGCACTGGTTGAGGGCAGAGGAAAAACTGCCCTCCAACGGAAAGAACTTTCAGTGTGAAATAACTGTATACACGGAAAATATTAGATGTATTATGTGTATTTAGAATATGAATTATTTTGAATGCAGTCAGCGTTTTGTCCACAAATGGAAATGAGCTGCAGGCCTGACCCACCTGATCCTATCCAATTCTAAACTGGGCATAACTGAACTTTACTGACCTCTCGCCTACATGTTCACCGTTCCTTAAAACTAATATTGTTTATTGTAAATGTAAAACCTAAAAGAAAGAAGACGGCCGGTTACCAATTTCCATTTGGCAGGAAAGAACTCGGCCCTCGCATCTTACGACAGAGGAAGTTGGATGTCTTCACAGAAGATTACAGTAAAGATGGGCAGTTACTGCTCAATAGACGCAAAGCATTTTAAACAGAAACTTGGAAGTGTTCTCATAGAGGGATAATAACAAAATGCGGCCTAAATATCTCCTGGAGAATAGGGAGTGTTTTCTACCATGTGGCAGGAAGACCGTGGTAGCAAAGGGGGTTGGGGGTAATATGAAGCAGACAGAGAAAAGTTTCCTCAAAAACTTCCAGAGGCCAGCCTCCCATAGCAGAGTATTCAAAACAATTCTGACACCAGGCAGGGCCATTAGGCAAACGTGCTCACAGTGCAGCAATGCAGACATCGTCTCATATGTTTCAAGTCACTAATGATGAGTCTCACTGTGTGCAGCTGCAGGATGTTTCATCTGTAGTGAAATATAACAGTGGAACAGGGAGGATACGTTTCAAGGCCCTGTTTTTAACACCATCAAGAACTCAGATTATATAGAACATGACGTTTCACTTCACACATTGCTCACCAACAAGTCCTTTTACCTTAATAGTCAATCCATACATTCTCTCCCTCAAGGCTAAGTAGTTGAAAGCCAAGTCGACATGGGCGCTCCCAAGCGCATTTCTATTGCAGTGGGAATGTGATATACGACAAGCCTGGCTCACCAAGTGGAGCTTGTGGGCCAGACACGATTTACAGCTTCTTGCATCACCAAACATTTAGCTTCAGAGCTTCAGCAATGCAGCTGTAGAAAGAAGGTTGTGTAGAAACTGTAGCTACATACATGGATAAAAGGGGAAACGGCTTTGATAAACTACATTTCAACGGGGTTAAATGTCCAAAACGTCAACGATCCTCAGAGCAGCGAGCTGGAAATGAATCATAACATAACACAGATGGATGATGATTCAGCGTGCGCTGTGCTAGTAACAGCTACAGAGCACTGGAAGCAGCTCAGCTACCCCAAAATGCGTCTTCAGCATAAGACACACAGACACCCATTTTACTCATTAGTGCACTCAGTCCTAACACAACAGACACACAAGTGAAGAAAGGAGGTGTTTGAGTTTGAGCAAACTGCACGAAGAGATTTTCCCGAAAAGGCGTCGTATAGAGCTGTGCTGTAATGAAAGAGCTTACCCTGCATGTTAACAAAACGGTCGCCTGCAGACACAAACAAAAGGGATCAAAGACACATCAGCCAATGATGTGTCACTCCGACATTTTAGTTTAGTTACTGTAACTGTAGTCAAAGTTGAGCTACAACTGATCACATTTGCCATGAAACATTCACAGTTTTTCTCCCAAAAGTCTATAGTTTAAGAATTTTTACAAAACAACAAAAGAAAAACAACGTTAGATTGACATTATCCAGACCAGATGTTTCCTTTCAAAGTAAAAGCACAGAACACAGGGCTGGGAAAGGAAAATTGTAGGAATGCCATCAGCATTACTTACTTGGAGAGGGACACTCCTCCAGCTTTCCCTATGAGCTCCTCGTGGTGGAGAACGGCATCATTCCAGGGAATATCAAGGAACTTCAGCAGTGTCCTCATCCATTTTTCAGGATGCAGCACCAATTGTTCATAGTGCACAGGCAGGCATTTGTCTTCAGCGTCCAGGCACTGAGTGTACATCGTCTCTATGGCCCGGTTCCACTTGGTCAGGCAGTCCCTGTAGCTCCCCAAGTCAAACCCAGCAATGGTCACCTTTCGCGAGATCATGGAATGGACCGAAGCCCGACCGTCTCTAATCATGAGCACAAACTTGGCACGGGGAAATATTTTGGCCAGGTAGGAAAGAGATTTCAGTGCAAATGGGTCCTTGTTGCACAGAAAGTTGGCGGGCTCACCGTGCTTGACGATTATTTCCAGCAGGAAGGCCTGCATGGCGGCGTCCAGCACCTCGTCAGTCACGCCAGCCTCGTCCAGGCGCATCTTCTCCCGACCCGAGCGGCTCCACATCTGTTTCATGGCCAGGATGCGTGGGATGACGCGAGTTTCCTCACCACAGCGGACCTCGGGGTGGGCGTCCAGCATAGCTCGCATTAGTGTGGTCCCGCTACGGGGTACGCCACCGATGAAAATGAGCGGCATGTCTTTGCTGTAAATGAACGGCATGCTGAGGTTCTGGCCTGTCCGTAAGGTGGTCCGCATGCTGCCTCCCAGCCCAGACAAAGGCAGGATTCCTCCTGGCTGGCTGTACTCCTCGATGCGATGGTGACACTCCATTGCATGGCGGCCTAAGTAGAAAACTGTGACCGAGCTGATGACCAGACAGGCCACCAGCAAGTTCTGTTTCAGCTTGCCAATCATGCTGGGGCCACAGAAGGGAGAGGACAAGATAACCACAGGGGCGATTTTTGGGTATGGGGGTAAAGGAAGTAGAGGGCCAGTAAGGTTCCCACCCTTTATGTTTGTTTACTGGGAACCGGGCATGGATCGAGCTCCCTGGTGCACAGCAGGTGTCTGGTCTCCAGCTCCATGAGCCCTGCATGGTGGAGAGAAGAGACACATTGAGATCTGGTCGCACCACAGGAAACACTGATACGACAGAACTGAAAAGAATCATTTGTGTCCAGATTCGCCTCGTTCTCGAGTTATCGTATTTACAAATTTGGGGTCGATGTCCTGCCGACCAGCAGGGTGAAGCAAACTAAACGAGCTCTGCCTGTTTTTTGCAACACTCTAGTGGACCTTAAAGTGTTGCAAGTCAAAGTTTGTTGAAAGAAATAACGAGTTGCTAATAACAGACTAAGAATACACAACAAATGTGTCCAAGCTGCATCCCAGCTTTGAATTTCTGGCGGCACATATTTCATCTGCGACATTTATCTGTCAACCTCTAATTATGATATGGGCAGCCACTCATGCTAATTCTGCAGAAAGGACAATGTGTGCATGCATTCAGTGAATACACACATCCTGCTCATACATACTGCAGTGGGCAGGCTGGCAGTTTTTGACAAGTGAAAGCTGCAGGCTGAATACAGCATATTTGCTGGAGCGTTTTCTCTGTGCTGGCAGAACAGCCACAGTCGGCCGTACTGGAAGAGGAAGATGTTAGGGTTCAGGCAATCCACAGCAGGCAGGGGCAAAGTGAATCCTCACTTTCAAACCACATATTCAGTCTTGTTAACAATACCAGTAGACTGTCTAAATAAAATGATCTTCTGTCTTTAAAGCCATTTGCATCCAAGGTATCTGGACTTTTGGCCTCGGGAACCTTTTGTCTGGAAACATCAACGTCAAACCTGTACAGGAGCTTTGAGCACTTAGGCCTCAGCTACACTCTGCTGCTGACACAGGGAGAGACAGCACTGAGTAGTCATTCCTGTTATGGTTCTTTGAAGTCTGCTTGAGGTTCATTGCTAGGTGCACATGTGCGGTTGGTGCATTGCAGAGCAGCAATGATTCATCAATTAACTGACGTTTTGTTTAATCCATGTAACCGTGAGTGTTACAGCAGAAACAGATTGAGGAGCATGCATGTGAATAAAACTACGGCAACCATAAACTCACGCGGCCCACAGCTTTCTCCACAAAGACACTGATAACACAACAGCAGCAGTGAAGATGATGCTATCATAGTTTAGCATTGAATGTGAAACATCCAAAACACCCACACTTATACTGTAATCACCATCAAAACCTTTACTCCTGGGAAAAAGCTCATGCAGGTCCTTCATGAATCATCATGTGCAAACTCATGTGAACTTTCTGCCATTTGTTTTACACAGCAGTAAATCCATAGCACAGCTGTTCCAATGAAAGCATACGTACACAGCTGAACTGCTAACTTAGTCGGACCAGGCAGCTTGCTGAAGGCTGACAGCAGCTATTTTACTTTATATGCCAGTGTCACCTGCGATAAGCAGAGGGTGAATCTAAATGGGGGCATGGAGTCTTAATTCAAGGCTTTAGTAGATTATTTTGTAGATTTAGACGAATATAAAATATATTAAACTGCAGTAACAAATAACATGCATATAAAAAGCTCATTCTTTTTTGTGGGCCAATAAAAGCACACGTGCCAGTAAGCCACTGACCAGAGGCTGTTAGGCTGGGCACTGAATTATTATTAACACTAATTATTAATATCTACACAATCAGAACATGAAACGAAATGTTGCAACAAAGCACAGGCCAAACCTCAGATCTGCGCTCGGAGAATACTGACTGGTCTCTCTCTTCATTGCCGTCATCACATGCTCTTTTAAAGGCACACAGACACACACTCACCCATAAACTACCACTATCTTTGTGTGCATCTGCGCACATACAGATGAACACACACCTCATCCAGGAGATACAATACTGAATGCCTTTGTCTCCTAGTGCAATAAAACCTTAACTGAAGCAAAAACTCTGCATCAGAGATTTTTATCTATGTATTCATATTACGTTCACCGAAACATCCTGTGGCTGCTCCAGTTTTGTCTAACGCGATCGTGGGGCGATCGTGGCTCAAGAGTTGGGAGGTCGCCTTGTAATTGGAAGGTTGCCGGTTCGAGCCCCGGCTTGGACAGTCTCGGTCGTTGTGTCCTTGGGCAAGACACTTCACCCGTTGCCTACTGGTGGTGGTCAGAGGGCCCGGTGGCGCCAGTGTCCGGCAGCCTCGCCTCTGTCAGTGCGCCCCAGGGTGGCTGTGGCTACAATGTAGCTGCCATCACCAGTGTGTGGATGTGTGTGTGAATGGGTGGATGACTGGATATGTAAAGCGCTTTGGGGTCCTTAGGGACTAGTAAAGCGCTATATAAATACAGGCCATTTACCATTTAACGCCAAAGAAGATTCAGGTTGCCATTAAATTTTTTGATCAATGCTCTTTAGCACCTAGCCTCATACCTGTATTAACTATTTAGTCTGTTTACATAGATTCCACCTCATATGAGCACGATGGTTAGCTGCCTATGACAGCATCAGTCCACAGCAGTGGAACAGCGGGGACTGCGACACCAGCACGGGACAGGCAGAACCCAATGCAGCCATCTCCACATTTGCATCATCATCAGTGCCATTTGGATGCATCATCGTCTGGAACACCAGACACAACATCATCATCATCATCTTCTTTCTCTAATTGATTAGTGGTTTCATTTCTCCCAAAGCCAACTGCAGACTGGGATGTGATGACGTTGTGGATGACGGTATTAAAACGTCTCTCGTTTCCCCGTTTATTTTGTGCCGTTGCAAAATACACCGTTTACTGCAATATTTTTTAATTGCTTTACATGACGGTTTCAAATAGTCACCATGGCAACACAGAAGAACCAGCCAAAGGAAATTGAGGAGCGTTTTTCTAAACGTGGGGTTAGCTGAGAAGCATGGACGCGGTTTGGTTATGAAATTAGTGCTGAAGCTATCGATTAATCTATCAATTATTCCATCGATTAATCTGATAAATACTTTTGTCTTATTAATGAGCAATGATAAATATTCAGAATAGAAAAAAATACGCCCCCTTCAAAATTAACTGTAAAATAAATATGAAATCTAAACTGAGGCCTTAAAAAAAAAAAAAAAAAAAAAAAAAAAAAAAAAAAGCATGTTTACTCTGTCTTGTTGGAAAGCTTTATGAGTCATTGTGCGCGTTTGGCTGTGTGTTTAAGTGTGCAGGTCAATGAGTGAGTTTCTGCCTGTAAGCCTATAAAGGAGCATGTGAGCATAGCAGCATACTGAAGTTTTCCCTGTGCTTTGATGCAAAGTTTGTGCTGCTGAAAACAAGACATTATGATGGAGCAGACGTTCATTAACATCAACAAGAATTCACCGCCTAACCTAAAATCCCTCTCATCAGTTTAATTTTTAGATTTTTAACACTATTTAATTAACAATGTTTGATATTATTTCCCTTTCAGTCTGAAAAATATTATGAAAACTTCAAAATAAATATGGTTTAGTGCATGCCATGCCCCCCTTTAGACCCACCCCTGGTAAGTTAACAGTTAATCTGCATATTTTAACACAACTTCTGGAGACTTCCTGCAGATTTTTATCTATGTAAAGCAAACAGTGGTGGATGGAGCAGGTACAAAGTTCGCTTTCCTTCATGTCAAAGTTTGTTGGTGCTTTGATGAAAGACCGCGGTTGCGGTTTCCCAGTAAAGCTTTAAATGTTGATTACAGGAACAGTGCTGCTGATTTGGACACTAGAAACATGTTTTCTTTCACTTTACCCGAGGTCACGGTCCTGGTACCGGCTCTGCCGGGCTTTGTGGGCTTAATGTCGTCAAACCTTTTATTCACGCGCTGCTCTTAAATTCGTTTGTCTTGCAGATCTGTTTTAAGTTGCAAATGAGTTTAAGAACGTCAAGTAAAAGAAAGCTCAAAATAAACCACAGAGTCAAACGTTAGAACAGGGTTTTCCCCACAGCACGCGTACAGACTCAGAGACAATTTTGTGCAATGGTCAAAACCCCAACTCCGGGTATACGATGCCCACCCAGCCAGTCTCACTTATGTTACGAGCGTCGGGCCAAAGTTACGCTGCAACAGCAGATATGCGAACGACCCGAGCAAACGCATCCCTGTATGAGCTTAACGGTGCAGTTCATCCGAGACTGGAGACACTGCAGTAGAGCAGGGCGATATGGCCAAAAATATTTATCACGATATATATTTGAAAATTTGCGATAACGATATAACTGACGATATAATTGATGCGAGACAAAATACAACTCCACAACATTACTAGCGCAAAAAGACAACCTTCCATTTATTTTCACTTAAACAAGAAGCTGGTTTTTATGTACATTAAAGCTTTATAAAAATGTAACAGTGCAAATGCAAATTCCTTGCTGAAAGTTTAACCAAAAGGCATTTCCAGTAGAAATGGGCTGACATATCCTGAGCATAACCATGTATAATATCCACTGAAGTTAAAAAGAGGTGCTTTGCAACATTAAACTGCAGTGTGCAGTACGCATTTTTCGGACCATAAGGTGCACGGGATTATAAGGCACATTAAGCGAAACAAAGCAGTCAGATAAATCAAACTTTATTAAACTCATTCTTCTTGCTTCCTCCACTTCTGTACCATTGATTCATTAATGTTGAATTCTCTGGCAGCTGCTCTATTCCCATGTTGTTGCAGTATATTAATGACTAACCTCGTATTGTGGATGGATTATCTCAGATGTTCTCCTGACTGAAGTTTGGTCCGTTTACAGCATCCTGCCATGCGATTGCATTTGTCTCTAACCATGAAGAACCTTCACGTTAACTTTTATAAGTGGAAAAGTGTTAGTGTTCGTCCTCCAGCTTCACTGTTTATGTTATGCTAACATAGTTGTGTCGCTAGCGATCACGTAGCACATCATTATATACCAGCTAGCCCAACTTCAGTAACCCTACAAACGTCACTGCTGTTTAGTTTCCTGTCTTCATTTATGTTGGAAGTGATAGCAGAGCTGTACGTTTGATTTTTTTCAGAAATCTCTCCGTCAGAACATGCTATATCATGCTTAGGTAACTAGCGAAACTAGCGAGC